CACTGAGACATTGCTCCCCCAGTCTTGTTCCCTCCGTCATTCACTGTGACAATAAAGGAGGCAGGTGGGTAATGTCCTGTCCCATGATCTAGAGTTAGCGTCGTGTTTTTAACAATGGGTGACAGGGCTGAGATGCAAACTGACAGTTTGAAGCTAGAGGGCTTTCTTTTTTTGTTTTGGTTTTTTCTTTTCTTCTTTCTTTCTTTTTTTTTTTTTTTTTTTTTTTTTTTGGTTGGTGTGTTTGTTGTCTTTTTTTTTTTTTTGAGAGATGCTCTCATGTAGCCCAGGCTGGGACGTGCATGTGCGCGCAGCTATATAGACAGCCAAGGATATAAAGTCAAGGATAGCCTTAAGCTTCTGATCCTCCTTATTAGAGCAGACCTTGAACAAACTCTGCCACACCCTGGCCAGGACCTGATGTTGAAACTCCAGCCCTTTCCCCGTCGCTGGCCATTGCCAAACGTCACCCGCTATCACCCGCATCCTACTAGCCAGAGCAAGGCAGCTTCTAAAGAGAAAATGGTGTGGACAAACAGTCCCAGGGAGGAGAAGCTGGTACACAGGTCTTTGAAACTGTGTAAATCTCCCGTTCTGCAAACACCCTGTATGTACTCCAGGTGTCCCCTCCCCCTTTGGGAGAGAATGCCTTTCCAAGTGTGTCTGCCCTCACTGTTTGAAATAAACAGTCCCATCTGCTGAGGTCAAACTGCTAAGGTCATACTCATGAGGCCATTCATACCGGTGAGGTCACACTGGCCTCTTTCCTGCCTCCACTCTCTTTAAGCTGCCTCGGAAATGGAACATTCCTGCTTCCAACTCCCGCACACCCAGACCATAGGCATGTGCCAGCATGTCTGGTTTTGTGCAATGCCAGGGATTGAACTCAGGTCTTTCTGTGTGTTAAGCAGGCACTGTACCAATGGAGTTACATTCCCAGCCCTAAGATTGGATCTTTAAAAGCACGGTTGGCTGTGAGTGTTCTCAGAAACTTTCCTTTCCTTTCCTTTCAGCTCTAAGCGACTCTGTTGTCCCCCGGGGAACATGTACAGGGATGAACGCTTGTCTGCTGGGTTACAATCCAAACCGAACAGTAGGGCTTTGCCTCCAGACCCCAGATTTGTGTCTTCAGCACTACGGAATCCTCAAACTGGATGGGCGAGAGGCACGTTTGGGGGTCTCTGGGAATGGAGAAGAAATCCTAAGCGACTTAGTAGTGAAGGGGGTGAATACGCTTGTTTAAAGGATGTTTAAGGTGAGCTGAACCTTTTGGGGAACTGGCTCTGTAGACCAGGCTGGCCTTGAACTCACAGAGATCTGCCTGCCACTGCCTCCTGAGTGCTGGGATTGAAGGTGCGTACTACCGTGCCAGAGCAGAGATGCTGCTGGCTTTCTTCCCTCGGTGTCTCCAAGCTTCTCAGGTCTCCTCTAACACACCACAAAGACAGGGGCTCCACGCATGCCACTGTTCCCTCCTCCCTGAAACCTACCCTTCACCTCCATGCCATGTGGGTTAGCCCTTAGTCTTTGAGTCCTCCTCAGTTTTCTTTGGGGGCTCCAGCCACTCTCGAATAGCAGCGTCCCTCGGAGTTCTGGGCTTGTTCGTCTTCCCAAACTCTCTCTAGACTGAAAGCCCCAAATCTCTATCTTCAACCCTGTCCCTTTTTGGACCTGTGCACAACTGCCCATTAGACAATCCCCGGCACTCAAGTCCACTGAAACTGAGCTCATCATCTTCCCGCCCTCACCTGTGTGTGGCAGGCCTCCTTTGGAGTGCCCAGCTAAAACCATGCCAGCTGTCATCTCTGATCATGCTATCTTTAGAGGCAGGCACTGTTGCCTGGATGGGGCCGGTCTGGGCCCAGTTGTATAGGACCAGTAAAGGACCAGTACCTCTGCCCTAAGGATATTTAAGCACAGGTGCCACCCAAGTATGGGCAGTGGTTTCTGGACTGTCTGATTTCGGCATGAAGCTCACACTCCGCTGTGTTCCTAAGTTGAGTATGATGGCACAGCCTTTGGGAGGATGAGCAGGGTGCCCATATGTGTGGGTTTGGATGACACACTGGACATCATTCCTTTGACACAGTGCTTTCAGATGCTGAGAGACACACAAGAGTACCATGACAGTTTCTGTTTTCCTTTCCCTGGCTCATCCTACGAACATGTCAGAGTACAGATTGGTAGGCACCCGCAGGGAGATCTGTCAACAGAGCCACAGAGGACAAACTCAGACCAAAGAAGGAAATGCAAGCCTTTGCTCTTCTGTAGTCTTGGGCAAAAGTCCAGGGCCTCTGTCTCCCGGATATTGAGTACCGATGCTTCAGGGGAAGCCCAGCCTCAGGCGTGATATCTCTGGGCAGTGAGCCCGTGGTCTCTCACACTGACTGGAGTTTTTCAGTTTAATATACTTCTTCGGTATAAGAAAGACCCAGAAGTCCCATGGTTTTCCCTCTCAGTCTTGACTACGTCAGATAGGGATGGCAATATTTTCTGCAAGAAACAGACAGTTCTGGAAAGCGTCCTAGTCTGGGTTTTTATTGTTGTTGTTGCTATGATAAACACCATGATCAAAAGCAACTTGAGGAGGAAAAGGTTTATTTAGCTTACACTCCCAGGGAACATCCTATCACAGAGGGAAGTCTGGGCAGGAACTCGAGCGAAAACCGCAGAAAAATGCTGCCTACTAGTTCCATTTTGGGCTCATGCTCAGCTAGCTCTATTATAATCATCATCATATTTATTTATTGTGCATGTATTTATCTGTTCATTTACTGACTGATTTTTGTTTTTCAAGACAGGGTTTCTCTATATAGCCCTAGCTATCCTGGAACTTTCTCTGTAGACCAGGCTGGCTTCAAATTCAGAGATCTGCCTGTGTCTGCCTCCTGAGTGCTGGGATTAAGGGTGTGTGCCACCACACCTGGCTCGGCTATGTTTTTCCATGCAGCCTGACTGCCCTCAGTGGGCCTTGCCTTCCTAGTCAATCTACAGTTATCAAGAAAACTCTCCACCGACAAGCTCAAGGCCAACCTGAGGGAGGTGACTCTTAGGTGAGGTTTATTTATAACACTGGGGAATGAACCCAGGGCCTGATTCATACTGCACACATGCTCTACCACTGAATTAGAGCTGTAGCCCTTGTTTTTTTCCTATGAATTCTAATTTTATTATTATTTCTATATCTCTGTGTGTGTGTGTATGTGTGTGTGTGTCTGTGTGTGTGTGTGTGTGTGTGTGTGTGTGTGTGTGTGTGGTGTGGTGTGGTGTGGTGTTTGGGGCTGGGGAGTACGTAGGCCTTCCTGAGTCACGGTGTGTGGGTGGAGGTCAGAGGAGAACTCTTGGGAATTAGTTCTTTCCTTCTACTGTGGGTTTGGGGCATCGGTCGGGCAGCAAGCCTCTTTACGCGCTGAGCCCTCCCGCAGGCCCTACTTTTTATTCTGAGACAAGGCCACCCTGAAGGTATTCATGCTGGCCTTTTGACAGTTCTGAAGCACAGGCTGGCCTTGTGCTTGTGTTACTTTTGGGTCAGCTTCCCGTAGAGCTAATGCCACAGAGTCAAGGCCCGGGGCGTTAAATGAAGCCCGTGAAGACCTGAGCCCTCGTGATGGAGGGTAAAAGATACGGCAAGCCGTACTTACAAATGGGAGGAGATGGCAGAGGGCAGCTGCCTAACAAATGTGACTGCCCCCAATTAACACAACGGGCATCTCCTCTGAGACTAGTGTAGATGGCGAGAGGCAACAGAAAGGTCCGAACCGGCATGCCCACACAGCATGAGAAGTCACACTGAAATCTGAGTGTGGCTGGCTTATCTCCCAACAGTCTGCACTTGATGAGAGTAATACAATTCACCTGCAATGCCAGTCCTCAAGTCCCTTTGGTCTTAGAACTGTAGTGGATAAATTATATATTAATATTGATAATAACAATAACAACTTGTCCTTTGGTCCCAGCACTTGGGAAGCTGAGGCAGGGGAATCCCTGTGAGTTTAAGGCCACCCTGGTCTACATAGTGAATTCTAGGCTAGCCAGGGTTACACAGTGAGACTCGATCTCAAACAGAACAATTTGCAAAACACGACGAATAATAATAATTACCCTACAAAATAGAACAGTTTCCCTTGAGGCGCTAATCCCCACCCACCCCCACTTTGTTCTGTTACCAGGAACACAGTTTCTCTTGCAGATTCTACAGGACGTTATTCCCAGGGAAAGTACCATGCTTCTTGCTTGGAGCTGTCTGTACCACCAAGGAAAACCGACCTCCCTCTTAAGACTTGTTCTGCTTCCTGCCACACAGAGAGCCCGGGAGCGGCAGCCCACCTCTGCCTTGGGTTTCCGGGCAGGCGCTCTGCTGAGTGCGAGCAGTTGGGCCGGTCACACCTATTGGTCACCACCCCAGAGGCAGCTTCCGGTGGACTGAACCCGTGTCTGTCATAGTCCTGTGGGTTAGGAACCCAGAGACAGGTCCACCCGGGACCTGACGCTTCCGGGGCTGGTGGCATGGTCTCTTGTGCTTAGGAGAGATGGAGAAAGCCCAGAGAGCAAGAGCCTGGAGCTGGAGGCGGTGGGCGCAGCAAAGGGCCCCTGGTCTATCCTCCACCACATCTCGGTGGCACGTTCTCCTTTTCCAGATGAACCCGAAGCCAGCTGTCTGGCAGAAGGCAATCGCTGGAAGAGAAGCAAGACCACTCTTGCTTGTCTTACTGTGGCGAGCCTTCAGGACAGGAAAATTTAAGGACCCCCCTCCCCCTGCGCTCTGTTCCCTAGGGGGCCCAAGTTTATCGCTGGTCTAATCTCTCAGTTACACTTTTCTACGAGGCAGATCAGGACCACTAAACCCCGCTCCCCTCCCACAAGGAAAACCTTTCCCCCACCCGCAGAGACCGCCGCAGGGTGCATAGAGACGCCACTGCTTGGGCTCGGGCCACGCCCGGGCTCCGGGCTCCCGGCTCTGCGGGTGGGGGGAGGGGACAGCTTCCCGGGGCTTTGCGCTGTGACATCAGCCCAGTTGTGGTGCAGTGTGCAAAGCCTACTGGCTGGCGTGGCGCGGGAAACGCCTTCCGGAGCGGGGAAACAAAACGGCGGCGCGCAGTCGGGTGCAGACTGTCGCCGCTTCCCGGAGTGCTGTCACCCGTGCGCCTCCCAGCAGCTGCCAGGTGAGTGCGTCCCCGCGTCGCCCGCCTGGGTCCCCGCAGCTGCCGGCCACCCGAGTGTGTGTGCCTGGGACGCACCCCGCGTCTGTAGGTCTTTCCGCATCTTGCCACAGCCCTGTCTCTTGCAAGAAAAGTTTGTAGGAAAAGTGACCCCAGGAGGAAAGTGGTGAGATGTGGCCTTGTTTAGCGCTTCCCTTTCCTGAAAACGCTGCGTCTGTCCCCATTCCGGGACTTCCAGGGCAGCCTGGCTTTCGCGTGCTCTAGACCCGGCTCCCCCCCCCCCCCCCCCCGACCGCCTGCAGGTCCCGCAGAACAATCGGCGATTCTGTGGGCCACTGACACTCATTGTAAGGCTGAGGGATGAGGACAACCTGCCACAACTTCCCTCACTCTCTTTTCCTGGGAGAAAGCGCCCACTAGTGCGAGGGAGCTGCGTCTATCTGGCTTGGTGACGGTAGAGCACTGGTGTGGGTTTCTTTTTCCTGAAAGAACCAGATGGAAGCAGACTCATGCACCTCCTCCCCGCCCAAGTCTTGGTGCTAGGTGAGGACCGGATACTGAGATCTCAGAGAACCAACAGTGAATGTTTCTTGAAAGCCGGGGAGCAGAAAGGGCTCCAGAGAGTGAGCACATTTAAGCAAGAAAGGGCTCCAGAGAGTGAGCACATTTAAGCAAGTCAGCAGTGTCACCTAACAAGCTCTTATCAGGCAGGTGTTTCTATGCAAGTGGCACAGGCCTGGGTGTATTCTGCACGTTTCTGGTCCTGTACTGACGTGATCCATCAAGGTAGAGGGCTAGACTGTGAGCAATGAAGTCAGAGCCATCCCACCCACTTCCTGCTTCTTGGGGTGAATGAATGGGCAGGCCCTCCTTACCCTGAGACAGCACTGCTCTGGGATACCATCATGGTGCTTGGGGTGAATGAATGGGCAGGCCCTCCTTACCCTGAGACAGCACTGCTCTGGGATACCATCATGGTGCTTGAGGGCCGCCCCTTGCCTTTGGTGGACCATTTACCATGAGAAAATACTCTGGAATCTCGGTGACAGGGTATCTGAAAGGCAAGCAGACTGAGTTTTGACTTGTATTTGACAATACACAGATGACTTTTTCCTCCTGGGTCGGTACTTGGAGCATATCTTAGGCACGCCCCCCCCCCCCCCCCCCGTGACTCCCTGCCTTCAGGGTTCTAGAGCTGCTAAGGGCCTGTTACTTCAGGGCTAGGTTGGGAATTTCCTTTAGGATCAGGCACTAAGGCTTGCTTGTGCCTCCGATTCTCTGCCCCAGCTCTCTGCTTAGGAGCACAGGCCCCTCCCTAGCCAACAGTTATAGCTCCCTTGGAGAATCCAGCTTGGCACTACTGTACAGGGACCCTTTGCCTTAGCAAGGATATCCGGGGCGCGACAGGAAGTTTATCCTGCAGAGGGTGTGGTGTGGTATGGTATGGTGTGCCTCAGGAGGAGGAGGGGACAACTGTTCCCAAAGCTCAGATGCTGAGAGCTGGGGGTGGGGGTGGGGTTGCTAGAGAGAATCTGGAGGGCAGGGTCCCCCGCTCTGTGACTAGCTTGCTAGGAAAATGTGCTAGGAGCTGCCTCTGGTCTGTGCTAGCGCCAGCCCTCTTGGCCCAGGTATTCTATTTTGTAATTCACAGTTAGGCTCTAGAGCCAGTCAGATCTTACTGCGTCAGTTACAGACTGAGAGGGTAATGTTTCCACTTGGCTGATGGTAAGTCAATACTGGGTGATTGACGCTGGCTACGGTGGCACACGCATGTGATCCTAGCACTTGGGAGATGGATGGCAGGAGGGACCACAAGTTGGGGGCCAGCCTGGGCTACACATTGGAGCTCTAGCTCAAAAAAAAAAAAAAAAAAAAAAAAAAAAAAAGAAAGAAAAGAAAAGAAAAAGAAATCAGTCAACAATCAAATGCCAAGTGAGTGAATGGAGTATGTGTAGTCATAAATAATCACCAACTAGTTTTTCCAGGACGGTAGTGTTTGCAAGTTTTTAATCCACTGTGGGTCTCCTGGTGGAGAAAGCAGGTTAGTTGGGAATGCTTTCTGGTGGGCTCCTAAGGCTTATTTATACAAGCAGGGCTCACTGGGCAAAGCTGGCTTGTTAGAAGCCTGAAGGAGGCATGAATTAAGCCCCACGGGATGCTCGTGACAAAAAGTTCCCCTCGGCTCTTTGACGTTATGCAGCTATATTGGCAAATGCTTAGAGGCACCAAACAGAAGTCTGTGCAGGCCTTTCCTTAAGAGTACACTAAGCAGGTGTCTGCCTGCTGCTTGCCAGCCGGACCTGTATCCTTCACCAGTGTTGTCTTGGATGCTGCTTATGAGGAGGGAGCCGATGCTGGCTACTTCTACAGATGATGATAGGGACTACCTCAAGATTACAGCTGGTCCCCAAGGAGCTGCTGCTCAAACATAGGCTGGCTGGCTCCCGCAGCCCGCCGTTTTTCGTGGATCCCTTACTGTCCTCATCCCAGGTCTCCTAAGGAAATGGGGGTCACACAAGCTGCTCTGGGGTGACAGTTGTTTAAAAAGTGGACAGGGCTTCACTGGCTTCAGCGTGGAAGAGCTCGTGGTGGGAATGCCTGACCTCTAGGTTTTCTGCTGGGCGCTGAGGACACAGGGAACCCTACAAGTCACTTCCCGGGTGTAGTTTGGAGTATGTCTGTGTTTCGCATTCATGTTTTCAGGAAAGTCCTGACAAAGGCAGTCTGTCAGAGTGCGGCCCCTCCCCATTACGAGCTGCGGCCTGAGGAAGGAGAGGCAGCAGCCTGAGCCCTGACAGGAGCCTCACCTACTGTTTCCAGTTGTCAGGATTTTGTATGGTAATGACATGGCTTGGATGACGCAGCTCCCCAGGAATTTGTCTGACGTCAGTGTAGAGTAGTTCCCATGTATGGTAAAGTGTGTAAATACCAGGCAGCTAGTGTTTCCAGACTCTGGTATTCCCACTGCTCCCCAAAGTCAGGCTGGCTGAGACTGAGGAACAAATAGAATGCTCGCAGCTGGAATGCAGCCCAGCAGACTCCCCACTCCAGGGGGGAGGGGGAGCTGGGTATTCTTCCTACAGGGGTGCGTGGGATGGATCTTCCTGAGATGTCAGCTGCCAGCAATGTGTTTATAAGGCCTACGTGATCGCTTGTTTTCCTCCTTTGGAAATTAATCAAAAGCATTCAGACCTTTCTGTTCAACACAGGGCACGACCAACTGGCTCTGCTTTTAACATCGTCCCAGACAAAAGCAAATTGATTTGATCGCACCATAATTATAACGTTTCCTGTACTCATATTGAAATACTTAAGGAAGTCTAGGGCTGGACGTAGCTCAGCAGAAGTCATGGGTCCCTGTTTCCATCTGCACACATGGCAGTGTGATTTCTGAACTTGGGGGAAGGGGGAGAAGAGCAGTGTTCAGTGCGGTCACATCCCGGGGAACATGGGACCTGGGGTAATGATAGCATCAGTGAGGGCTGGCTGACTGACTCCTCAGAGGTAAGCCGTATGCAAGGGTCTAATGAAGGGACCTGCACTACCGTATGCAAGGGTCTAATGAAGGGACCTGCACTACCGAGGTGGAGCTCACTTTTTGGGTGGACCCTTTGTACCAGGGACCCTTATCTTCTGGATAGGTCACGTGTCACCTGGAAGATGCAGGCTCCGTGGGCTCTGGACTTGGCCCTCTCTCTGGTTCTGTCCCTGGCTGTTCTCTGGGCTTGGGGGGGGGGCGTGGAAGAGACAGCTGCAGGGTTGGAAAAGATGACAATACTCTTGTCTACCTGGCAGGTTCCAAAGAGCTCAGGCAACTTCTAGCAGCTCATTTCTACCCAGGCAAACACCTAGCAGGTCTCTATCAGACCAAGAAGGTAGGGAGGTGTGCTCTGAGCCTATGACAATCCCTCTTTTGCTGGAGGGTGTGAGGGATTATGGCGTGGGAGAGATGTTTTCCCCCCACTGGAGAAAGATGCCAGGTGGCTTGTCAAGTGTTTGATGAGGGAGGCCCTCCTCTGAGCAGAGGTGGCTGGCAGGCTTAGAACCCAGGCGATACTCTGGGCCTGAAACGTGACCAGCTGAATCTGTCACCTCTGTTGCTGTACCCCATGCCCGCCCCCTCTTGTCCTTCTGTGTGTCGCCATCTTGCCCCCCTTTGCAATCCTCTGTATGGCTGGGAATGAGGCAACAAGGTATAGCAGCAGACTTGAATTAGCTGTGTCTAAAGAGGACCATCTCTGCCTTCCAACCCCTAGCAGCCATGAGGACCTTGGACATCTCAAGTGGACAGCTGATAGGAGGGAGACGCCCAGCCACTCAACAGAAGATTCAGATTTTGTTCTCGTTGAGATGATCAAGACAGCTAAGTGGGACGAACAGAACAGAGCTAGCAAGTCCCAAAGGGAAGGGGACGTTCGGAATGACCCCAGTGTGGATAACACGATTATAGAAGACAGCAGAGAGTTGCTGTTTTAAATCGTCTTGTTGTGAGTTTGGTAGCTAGGCCACACAGGCCTTCTTAACAGCAGCCCTCCTGCCTCTGCCGATGTTATACCTAAATGCTATTTTCCCCAGCAGCAATGATTTGCCCACAGGACAGAAAGTTTGGTGTAAGGTTCCCCTACCTTCCCTGCTGGAGATCGCAGGTAGCGGAGGGAACACTGAGGAACTAAAACTAAATGAGTGTTGCTTCTCAAGTCTTCCTTCTTTCAGATAAGGATCAGCAGGGAAGGAGGGAAGGCAGCTGTCTGGCTCCGCATCTGGGCTGAGGGGTAGGTGGCAACCAGAGGTGTACTCTCTGTGGCGTTCTTATTTGGTCATTATAATATGGGGAGTGTTATTTTAGGGATAAAGGAATGGAGTTGAGAGCGAGAGGTGTCCACTCAGCTAGGAGGAGGAACCCTGCACTCTTTAACCCCAGCTCTCATTTCCTAGGCACCGGCAGGGCACAGCCTCCCACAGGTCTTCTGTCCCCCCAGAACTGGGAAGGCAATTGAGAATAAACCTCACTGCCCTCCAAGCCCTCGGCAGACCCAGACAGCCTTCCTTTTAAGGCAATACAGCTTCCCCACAGTGGAATTTGGCTTTGACAAGAAGGGGCTGGGCAGACCAGAGGAGGTGGAGTGAGGTGTAGACAGATCCCTCCAGCTGGGGCTCTTCTCCACACTCAGGGTCCCCTGAGGGGTCATCCTCTGGGCAGAGGATGCTTCCTGGCTGTGGCATTGTTTCTGCTTTTCCTCTTGAAGCCTGGGTTCCCAACCAGATTCCCAGCTCAAGGAATGACCCAGCCAAAGGACATCCTGAGCTGACCTCCTGCACTGACCGGTCCTCGGCTTTCACCCCCAACCCCCTCCTGCCCCTGTTCCCGATTCCCTGGAGCCCTGCTGGATACAGCCCCTGGCACAGGGCCAGGGAGAACAAGGGGACCTCTGTACGGAGCTGTGGGTCTTCCCCTCTGGGAGAAGGGCTTCATGTCTGAACAAAACACTGCTTGGAACGACTTCCTACCACGTGGCTAAGGGACTGTTCCTTCCTTAAGGGTGTCCCTAGGGACACAAGCGTGACCCCTGTGGCTTTAGGGGGTTGCACAGAAAGGTCAAAGAGGAGACCCTGTCTTGATGAACTGCACGCCCACCCTATACATCCATTAGACACGCTCTGCCCATAGCCTGATGACTGGGGTCACAGGGCAGAAACGCATGGACCTTCCTTAGAATCCAGTTCTGCCTCCCATAGCTGTGGTGCCATCAGCGGGTTGCTCAACCTCTCTGAACCTGGTTTTTCCTTATCTGCAAACTGGGCATCTGTTCTCCATTTCTCAGAGGATAGCTGCCTGAGCAGAACTTGCGTTCTCCGAGCAAGGAAGGAGGGGGGAAGCTGTTCTTGCTGCTTCTCTTTCTTACAGGGGTTGCATCCCCGAGTCCTTGTTCAGAAAGTTCAGTTAAGCCCTGGAGGGTCATGAGAGCTTGGGATGGGGAGAGGCCCCAAAGTTGTCTGAGGAAGCAAAGCGGTCTCAGGCAGGTAGAGAAAGCCGCCTTCTAGGATGCGTGAGCCGGTGGCGTCCCGGACTCTGAGGAAGGAAAGTGGGTGTGTGCAGAGGAGATAGGCCTTCTCTGGGGGGGGGGGGGCGGCAGTACACCCAGCCTCCGTCCTCAGCCTCACCACAATGCTCCCGGCTCCCCTCAAAGGCATGGTCTGAGTCTGTCTTCATGCTAGGTTGAGCTGGGTGCTCAGAGAGTTGAACAAGAGCTAAATTGACAGCTTCCGGTCTGTGGATCAAGAGGAATGAGCTCGGGTCAGGCAGGCCGAGATCTGCAAGGCCAAGAGCAGTGCTCTGATGCCTGGTGGCAGGGGTGTCCTTGTGTCCCGATGAGGGGGTGATTCCAGTGAGAGAGCTGGGAGCTGCTGGGCGGGGACGGGTTAGGAAATGTCAGGGCCAGTCTGAACACCAGTTACGTGACTGCCGATGGCTCAAACAATGCGGAGTTGGCTGTTGGTATAATAACTAACATTCAGAAGTGCACGGAGCTATAGGTTTGGCTTAAGCTTGTTGTTCAATGACATCATCCAAGACTCCATTTACTTAATCTCATCAGTTCTTTAGACTGCTCCTCTCTCCTCTCTCTCTCTTTCCCTTCCCAGATAGGGTTTCTCTGTGCTTTGGAGCCTGTCCTGGAACTCGCTCTGCAGACCAGGCTGGCCGCGAACTCACAGAGATCCGCCTGCCTCTGCCTCCCGAGTGCTGGCATTAAAGGCGTGCGCCACCAACGCCACCTATGGTGGTGGAGGGCATTTTCCCCCAAGAAGCTCTCAGGAATCAGGATAACTTTCTCTTCCAGAGCCCCCACGAATTCTTATCCCATCCATCTCACAGACAACTAAACAATAACTTTGGCTGGCTAGGTTAGGCTCAAGTCACACGTCATGGCTTAAAATGGGACTAAAGGCTGTAGCAGACATCTTCCTCTGGGGGTAGCCGTGACTGCTGGGCGAAGGCAAGGTAACGGGGCAGGGGGGGGGGGAGAGGAGCAGGGCGCAGTGCCAAGGGCCAGTGGAATCTAAAGGGCATGGTATACAGCGCTGTGATAAGCCGTGAGCGAAGGGGAGTGGAGTGGGGCACGGGGGATGGGGGGAAGACACTGATGAGTCCCATCTGGGTTCATTTACAGACAGAGAGGGTGGTGATGTCACCACAAGCAAAATAGAGAAGTCAGGAAAAAAGAAACAGTTGTTAGGAGGCTGTGAGCCCAGGTGACTCATTTGCAAATGGAGGCACCTGGGGGCGGGCCTAGAGCGGGTGAAAGGCATCTCTTCTCTGTCCCTTTTACTTATGTTTTACTAGTTACACACTCGGTGTGCTTTGGGCCTCTGACATCCCATACTTAGTCTACGAAGAACTTTTTATTTTCAGCCCCACTTTCAAGATGCAGTAGTCAAGGTCTGAGAAGTCCAAGTCCCTTGTCCACGGTCACACAGGGAGTGAGTGACAGGATCAAACTGGACTGGAAAGCCTGGCATCAGGACCAGAGCTCAGAACCAACACCTGGAACATGTCCCCATCGGCGTCAGAGTCCTAGGCTGGGCCAATGATTTCCCTTCTTTCCAGGCCTCGGCGGGCAGAGGCGGGTGGTGCTGCCAGTCTGGCTTTACAGTGCTAGAGGCCAGTGCCCCGTGTGCCCGAAAATCTCCTGTGTTGTCTTAAACCTTCTGTTTGGTTTTTCTTTGTATGAGACGCAGTCTCGTGTAGCCCAGACTAGCTTCAAAACGACATTCCATCCAAAGATGACCTTAAATATACAATCTTCCTGCCTCTAACTCCAGAGTGCTACCGCATCTAACTTTTGGTTTTTGTTTGTTTGTTTGTTTGTTTGTTTGAGACAAGTTCTTTAAGTATGTGGCTCAGGCTGGCCTCAAATTTGTCTCAGCTTTTTAAGTGTTGGCATCATAGGCATGGATCACTGTGCCCAACCTAACCCTTCCCCCATTGCCTATCCTATGTACAAGAGAATGTGTGATGCCCATGTGTGTGGTTCAACAAGAGAATGTGTAAGGTCTACCTATGTGTGTGGGTCAAAGACAACTAGCGTTGGCTAGAGCTTTAGCGCTCTCCCAGGCGATGGCACCTCGCCTTGGTCCTTTCGCTGTTGGAACTGATGACTGAGACAATGGGCTGTGACGTTCCTTCCTACCTGTGAACTTTGCCCCGGTTTTAAGATTTACAAACCCCGGTTGATCTGCCCGTCTGGGGCTGTTCTGTGACTAGGGCTGTGGTTGGTAACACCTGCCACTGGTTAGCTTACTTGCACTGCTCCTGCATGCTCTTTGTGAGCCCATCCTGGAACTCGCTCTGTAGACCAGGCTGGCCTCGAACTCACAGAGGTCCGCCTGCCTCTCAAGTGCTGGGATTGCAGGCGCGCGCCACCACCGCCTGATGCAAATGTTGTATCCTGTGATCTTGTCGTGTAGGGTGCTCGGCACGGAGCCCACATACAGCAGCAAATAGGGTGAAGGAGGAGGAAGGGGCCTCTACTCGCCAGCCAGAAGTACTCTCCCAGGGCTGGCCATTTCCTAGGAGGCCTCCCCGCCAGCCACGGGCAGTCCGTTTTCATCTCTGTGTACATAACCCGCATCCTCACTTTTATGTTCTTTTCTTTTTCAGAATGCCGAACTGGGGAGGAGGCAAGAAATGCGGGGTGTGCCAAAAGACCGTCTACTTTGCTGAGGAGGTCCAGTGCGAGGGCAGCAGCTTCCATAAATCTTGTTTCCTCTGCAGTGAGTACTGTCCAGGACTGCTGTTGATGCCAGGGCACCCGGACAGGCCTGTCCCCACAAGCTCAGCCTGTGGCACCCCAGGGAACCGGTCCCTGGGGATGTAAACAGCTTGACATTTGGCTGAAGTCCAGCTGGGGAGGGAAACACTTAAGGGCCTCTTTGTTCCCTTCAGAAGCTGTCTTCCCAGGGGTGAACTGGCCAGTGCTGGGGGGTGGGGGGCGGCAGGGGTGTGTGTGGCAGGGTAGGGGTGGGGCAGGGCTGACAGCCAAGCTGGAAAGGCTCACTTGGGGAAACTTTCCATTCCATGTTCCTGCCACACTCTCCTATCACTTCTGAGAAAGCCGGTTTCAACCCAAAGTCTCACTAGCCTTGCGTTGTTACCCCTTGTTAGGTGAGAGAGGCCACAACCCTGTGGTGAAGGTCAGAGAGGAGAGAGTTAAATCTGCCACTGGCCCAGCAGTGGGCCACTCTCCCGCCCTATATGGAGGGAAGGAGAGGCTCCCAGTTCTTTGCTAGCTACCTCCTCCTAAAGGTCCTCTGTGAGCCGCTGTAGCAACTCTGTGGTTTAGAGAGCCATGCCTTGTCGCAGAGCAACCTCTCTGATGCTGCCTTGGCTGGCGCCTGGGTCAGTGGAGTGTACTCACCCGAGGAGGTGACTTGAAGAGCTCCTTCCTCCTCGATGCCTAAATGACTGGCGCTTTGTGGTCAGAGCAGACGTTTGTTGTTAGACAGAGCCAACCCTAGCGGCTGTCTCCGGGGAGCTAGACCCAATGGCAGACGGTAGGATATCTTGGTTAAGCCCCGGTCACCGGTGCCAGCCTGATTAGGGCTGGGAATGCAGTTTACTTTGTGTTGTTTGTGTGATGATGGGCAAGTTCAATACCAAGTACGGTTAACTGTGAGGACTAAAATGAGTTGGTTTAAAAATATATATATATATATATATATATATATATATATATATATATATATAAAGAAGCACTTCAAGAAGTATGGGTGTTCAATAAATACACAAAGTCACACATGCTCATTGATAAGAACGCCACAGAAAAGAGGGAGGAGCATGTCTACCTGCTGCTGGGTGGGCCAGCCTGAAGCCACCCAGCGCGGGGCAGCAGGGTCCTCACACTGCCCAGCAGGCCTGGGGTGTCAGTCCCAGGCCCCGTGAGATAAATGACAAGCTTTTGTGGAGCTCTGCTGGCTCCCAGCCTGCCGAGGAGGAGGCCATAGACAGCAGCTGGTCCTCGCAGCTCATCATGGAGGGGATTTTAGGTCCCCCACCCCAGAGGGAATAAGAGACAGCTTGGTGCCAGCTGGGAAGGGGGTCTGGACTTCTGGGTCTGTAAGGCCCCTCTCTGCCCCCCAAATGTTGCTTAATCACTGACTAAAAGGGGCCAGCTGTAGCTGTGTCCCGAGCTCCTGCTGACGTCCTGATGTGAAGAACCTGCTTCTGGCGAGGCGTGGATGGAGGTCAGGAATTCAGGGGGTGGTCCAGGAAGGAGCAGGGCCTGGGGCAGGCTGTGAGGGGGTGTCGGGGATTAGAAGCGATTGTGGAATGTCAGACTTGGGGAGGAGGGGCTGCTGCGCAGCTGTCACTGCAGGCCTTAGAGTCTCCTGGATGGTTGTGTGTGTCTGTGGCATCTTGGGCCTTTGCAGTTAGTTCCCAGGTGTCAGCTCCAGCTGGCCAGGAAGCCCTGTGCTGCCCAGGCATGCTGGGACATTATCCCCACTGCTTCTCCCCCCCCCCCCCAACAGCAGGGCACGTGATTGGATCTCAGTAGGGACTTGGTCAGCATCCTACCCCTTCATGTCACTCGTGGTAAACCATAGAATTAAAGGGCTTTTCCTCCTCAGCAAACGCCAGCAGGTTCTGGGCCTGGGTGGCAGCTGGAGCCCATTTTGTTAGTTAGCCTAGGACAGGTCCTTAAAAGAGGGCTGTTAATTCCAATGGCCGTGCGTTCAACTGAGTCTGTCACCGGATACACTTTTCTGGGGGGTTAGGATAGGTACGAGGAAGCTGGGATGAGGCAATAGGAAAGATAAGAGAGACCACGTCTTCCTGGGTTTGGCCTGAGGCAGAGAGGCAGGCCTGTGAAGAGTCTGCCTCATGTCTGCTCTGCCCCCTCAAAGAAGCAGAGAAGGCTCTTCCCACTAGCCGGCAAATGGACGATAGACTGAGTTCAGGCCCAATAGGAGCCTTCCCTGAGATGGTGTGCCCTTCTCTGAGTTGTAGCCAGCTCCTTTCTGGGCTGAGCTGGGCTGAGCAGCCAGTCTGTGGACAAGAACGTCCTGTTTGTCTCAGCTCTGTGATGGTGGACAATGGTGGAAGTCTGCTGGTGGGCCCTCAGCGGTGCCCAGAGGCGGAGCAGGAGGGAGACGTGGAGAAACTTCAGATTCTCTTTGCCCACCCCCAAGCTGTCAGTTTTCCCTTTCTGCCTCTCTGGAAGAACCACAGCCTGGCGGAAAACCAGGATTAGAAATCAGAGCTGGGATCTGGCCTGGCCTTGCTTCTGGAAGACTCTGTGACCCTGAGCAGGTTTTTGTGGGTGTTGGTTTTCCTTCTAGAAGCAGGGTTACTCTCTGTCTTCAGGTGTGGAGAGTGGGTGCCTCTTTTCCACATCCCCAAATAGCATCGCAAAGCCCCAGAGAGCCGGGTAGCATCTGCAAACAGTTTCTGAACAAATGCATGGGCTAATCTGGGATTTTTGTTTTTGTTCTGTTTCTATTTTTTTGCTTAACCTGATTTAGTAGACATTTATTCAGACCTTCCTTGAATGAAGGATATATTCAAAATTCCCCTTGGCCAAGCTTTTGCGGGGGGTGGGGGACCCCACAAGTGAGCTGAATCCCATACTGTTATCACTTGGGTGGAGGGGGAGGAGGCCATGTTGGAGTTAAAGTAAGAGGATCTGTACCACTGGGAAAACCACGGCAATGCAGAAAGGAACAGGAGGTGTTGACCAGCACGCAGGGGAGCCATCTACAGGGTGTGGCTTACCGACCCTGGTATCTCCAGAGTCAAGACCCCCATCTTTTTGCCAGAGACAACAGCAAAATGGCCTTTTCCTCCTTGCCTCTTATCTGTGTTTTCGGCCTCCCTCCCATTTTGGAATTCCCAGTTTAATGTAGGTCTAAGGGAAACTGTTCTGGCCAGGCTGGTTCCTGACTTCCCACCCTAGAAGGGAATGTTGGAGCCTTGGCCTGTTGTTCTCTGCCTTAGTGTTCTTCCCAGAGCCAAGCCCCAGGGGAGCGGGTGGGAGGGTCCATATTTGGATGGCTGGAATGAGGCAGGGATCTCAAGTGCTGGACAAGAGGGTCCTTATTTAGTCCGAAGTCCCCAATCTGGGGCTCAAACAGACCTGGAGGAGGGCTAGGCCTTTAAAGGCAGGAGAAAGGCAAGTTGTAAGGAAAGGCCATTGCCGAGGTGCTGAGGTGTGGTTGGGCTTCCAGCTTCAGTATTTTAGGGATTTAGGGTGACCCAACTCCAGTCTTCAGGGGAGTATTACATTGAGTCTCCTGGGCGAGGCAGGTAGGAAGATGGAATCAAGTGCTCTCTCTCCCGTGGTACATGGGTGGGTGACATTTATGAGCCTTCGTGCAGAAGGCGCCGAGTGAGCATGTCACATCTAAGATCTCCCTTGACTGTCCTAACTACCTTTTAGGGCAGACTTGATTATCCCCGCTCATAAACGAGGACACTGAGCCTAGAAAGGCAAAACAGTTTGTCCCAGCCACCCAGATGGGTTGGAGAGCTGGGATCTGAGGCGGACTCTCCCCTCGCATGCTGGGTATCTGGGACAGCTCACTGACAGTGACAGAAGAGAGTAGGCGGCTTGATGGTCTCCTAGCTCACGGCATTCCTGCCTCTCCCACCCTGTGACTCGTGACTTTTAAGACTAAAAACTGCAACTTGAGCTCTGACTACCGTGACAGGCATCTCATTCCCCTAGGGGCATTATCATCACTTTACCTGCGGTAACAGCACACCCAGATGTGTCCTTTCAGTGCTCTGTGTGAGGCAGTCAAACCCTGCTTTCCTCCCCTCTGCCTTCCTCCACCACTGGGACACACGATCTGTTTTAGCTAGAAAGTAAAACTCCGTCTGATCTTCCTCGGCTTTGGCTTCTGAACCTTGGGGTTCGGTGAGACTTGGATGGGTACCAGGGTGCAGAGGTCTGCGGGAAACATTCCTAGCTTCCTGGAAGTTGGGCCTTGACCGCTTAGAATCAGACACTCCTGGAAGCCAGCCTATTGGTCACCTTCATGGTCTCCTTTTCTGTGTAAGCCCTGGGAGGCCCCGGAACTGTTCCTCAATATTCCCTTGTCTCCTCCCCAGTGGTCTGCAAGAAGAATCTGGACAGCACCACCGTGGCCGTGCATGGAGAAGAGATCTATTGCAAGTCGTGCTATGGCAAGAAGTATGGGCCAAAAGGCTATGGCTATGGGCAGGGTGCAGGCACACTGAGCACGGACAAGGGGGAATCTCTGGGCATCAAGCATGCGGAGTGAGTACAATTCTCTACCTTTCCTTGAGTTCTCACCTGCCCCTGAGATGGGCACCAATGAGACACTTTTGGTTAAGCAGTGGGGGGGGGGGGCAGGTCTGGGAAGCCCTTGATTTAAAAGGGAAAGCCTTGCCTGTCATCCTAGGGAGGCAGAGCCGGAAAGATCTTGCTACAAATAGAGATGTGATAGAACAAAAACAAAGCAGGCTGGAGAGAAATGGCTCAGTAGGTAAAGTCCTCACCACATACACATGAAGATCGGAGTTTAACCCCAGGCACCCTTGTAGAAGCTGGGTACTGGCAATGTGTTCCTATAGCCCCAGTGTTGAAGAGGCGGAGACTTGCTGGTCAGATGGTGTAGCTGAACATTGAGAGGCCTGTCTTAAAAAAAAAAAAAAAAAAAAAAAAAAAAAAAAAGGCAGAGGAGGCCTAACATTGGCCTTGGCTTCTGCAAATATGAACACAACATATGCACGTTCATATGAGCGTGCACGTGTGCGCACATACCCACACCCAATACAGAGACCAAAAGATGAACAAATAGTAAAAATAAATGAAAGGAAGTCACACAGCGGCTGTCCTAGTGGGGTGGTCGTAGCAGCTGAGGACTAATGTGGAATGCTGCTTGGGCCATTCATCCTGGACTTTTACAAGTGTCAGAGCCAGGCGTGGCCCCGAGAGTTATATTACATAGTTCAGTTTCTGCATTTTATAACCGAAAGCACAGTGCGTGTCACAGTCCTACCACCCTTCACCCCTGCTAAGGGGAAGTGCCTCGTGGGGTCACTGGGTCTCCTCAGTCATCTCTTGCCTCTGACCCGCTGATAGAGGGAGGGTAGCTGGCAGCCTGGCGTCTCAGCGGTGGGGAAGTGGACGGAACGACATAGAGTTAACTGAATTTCAGCCAAGGTCATTGCCCGAACGGGAATGGTCTGTCATCAGATTTCTCCTGAAAAGACTCTAATAATAAACCAGCTGCAGAAACGAGGTGGGGAGGATTCTTAGCAAACGATGTGTTAAATGATTCTGGGGCCTTTAAGTGTGTGATGAGGAAAATGTGTTGTTTTGATAATATGCTGAGCTTTGGGATTTCAGAGGCCAGGGTGACTTTAGCTTTAGTTCCCGAGGCAAAAGGGCTCTGCCCCTCCAATATTGTCTCCTCTCATGTACTTCTGCACGTAGAGCCCCCCGGACACAGGCCGACCACCAACCCCAACGCATCCAAGTTCGCCCAGAAGATTGGTGGCTCTGAGCGCTGTCCCCGATGTAACCAGGCAGTCTATGCTGCAGAGAAAGTGATTGGTGCCGGGAAGGTAAGATTACTTACTGGGGGCGAGGAAGACAAGAGGGAGGGCGAGCTTCTGAATGACCGAGCTTTGTGACTGATGACTCTAGCTCTGGACTTTGCTTCCATCCAGAAACTGAGAACCCTTGTCCTTGTGGGCTGCTTGTCCCAGGCCCCAGGGAACTCACCTAGTCCACAAACTGTACCATCCCCATCCAGAGCTACAGTTTGTAGTCAGTTTGTAGGGCGTTTCCAAGATGGGACATAGAGTTCTGAGGTCTGCTACTCTAGAGTCGAGGGCTAGATGCTAAGGATATAGATGGCTGTTGAAGCGCCCACCCACTAAGATTACATGGCTGGGTTTTCTACAGTGGTGTCTCTTTCTAGGAAGAAGATTCATAACTTTAATCAGATTTTAGGAGTTTTGGTTCTAGAAACATTTACAGACCATCTTGAAGTACACATTTTGTTTCATGGGATATGTTCTGCCCGAAACCCACCCATCTAACCCCAAGGACCTGTTAGCCTGCTGGAAGGTTTTTTTCCCATGCTATTTATAATAGCCATGCCTACCCTTTGCAAGATTATCAGCAGTGCCCAATGAGGATCATCCTAGCCAACAAACTGAACAGCCCAGCAATCATTTCCTCGGTGTTCAGGCCTTGGTTGGAAACAGCAGGAGAGTCCTGGGGGGGGATGGTCTTAAACTAACAGCAGAACACAGCTCATGTCCCTCAAGAAGGGAGTTCTGGATCCTCACCTGAGGCCCAGGCTGTATGAGTAGTTTGACCATACAGCCAGCCAATGAATCCACAGCACCTAGAGTCCATGGGCAGCTCTTTCTGCTTTGGGCCATGGCTTTGAATGCCCTGTGATCTTGAGGAATGGTAACTAACACGGGTCAAATCTGGACCATAGTAGTCCCTACGTTGCTGTTAGGATTATCTCCATCACACAGAACAAGAAAATGAGAGTCAGCAGGAATGGATGATCCGCTCATGTCATCTAGCTAGAAATCGAGCCAGGAGCTCAGCCAGGTGTACCTGATTCTGAAGCGGCTTCTTACTACTTACTACTGCTGACTTTACTACAGGCCACTTAACCCCTTTAAAGACATTTCTGTATTTGCAAAGACAGGAAGGGTTGTTAATCCCACTAGGTCAATGAACTGCCTGGGCCCTCGGTAATATGCTTGAACCATAGCTTTACCTTTACTCACGTGTGCTGGGACCAGTTCAGCCTGAAACCATGATGCTCCCTACCAAACAAAATGTTTCTAAGATCGCATTAGCTAATGTGTGTATAGTGACCAAAGCTGTGCCTTAAATGTCATGAAAACAGGAGTCAGTCATGCCTGTAATCCCAGACTGAATCCCCAAAAGGAAGGGAAGGGAAAAGAGACATCAATATTACAAGTCAGTTTTTCTCCTTTGCCTATAGGATTAGGAAATAATTAAAGAAATACCCAGGAACCCTTATTTCCATGGCATAGCATAAAGTTAAGATTGTACTGAGAGGGGGCTGGAGAGAGAGCTCAGCGGTTAAGACCACTCTTCCATAGGCCATGAGTTCAATTCCCAACAGCCATCATCAGATCCCACTACTGATGCCCTCTTCTGGCATGCAGGTGTCCCTGCAGGTAGAGCACCATATACATAAAATAAATAGAGAGAGAGAGAGAGAGAGAGAGAGAGAGAGAGAGAGAGAGAGAGAGAGAGAGAGAAGATTGTACGGAGGAGCAGAATCAGGAGATTTGAGCTCAAAGGAGAGGGGAGGAGGAAGCCCCTTAAGAATCACGGAGGCGCAAAGGGTACCTAGTGTGGGATGACTGAGCGTATTTGGGGGTGTCTGCAAAGTACGAATACGCTGGGTGGGAGCCTGTATATAAAGAGGTTTGCACAGAGCACTGAAGGAGATCATTTGTTGACCCCACCTCAGCCCCCTGAGCACCGCTGCTGCCGTCTCTTGGGTGAGGTCCAGTGCTGAGGTCTGCTTTTCTTACCCTCCCACCTGGGTATTGGTGATTACGAAGAGGAAATCACCTGGCAATGTTTTGTTGCCCCAGCTGAATGCTGCCATCACCTCAGCTTGTTCAGCTGGGTTGTATCGTTCAGTTTGATTATACTGCTGATGCTATGTAGCTGTGCGTGCACGTGTGTGTACGTGTGTGTGTGTGTGTGTGTGTGTGTGTGTGTGTGTGTGTGTATACCCCGTGCACGAGCTTGACTCCTGTCTCTCTTTGTCCCTGTGGTGCCATGGTGGCTTAGGTCATCTCTTAGAATCACAAAGGGCCTTCTGTGACCTATTGAGTTTAGTACCCTGTAGACAGACCCATTCTCCTTTCAAAAAATCGTACAAATTTGGCTCAGGGCTTCCTCCGTGCCTGGCCCCATGTGAGCACTTGACCCTGGTGAAGTCATTTAACTCTGGCAGCTGGCTAGCAAAGGGAACAAGGCCACAGCACTCTCTGAGAGCTGAGCCGAGGCACTGAGATGTACAATTCAGAGGCGGGGCTGGTCCAGGAGAAGCCCAGTGGTTGGTGAACGCCCGTTCTGTGGTTGTGAGCCAGCCTTTTCCACATCAAATCCTCACATCCACTCTACAAGATAAACAGAGAGGTCCTGGGAAGGACATTAGGGCAGTAGCATGTGACAGAGCCGAGACTAATTCGGAGTCACACCAGTTTTATAGGCAAAATAGTGCGGAGAAGCCTTGCCTGGCAGCCTGCAGGGTTTGCAGCTACCCGGGTGGGATGTGACCCCCTTCCATGGTGCAGCTGGAAATACCAGGCATTGTAGCGCTTCATGGTGGCATACTAGTGGTGTGTGTTTTGACTTCTGCTCTGCTTTGCTCTGTGTCTGGGCCACATTCTCCTAGCAACTCCCGTATCTCTACCTGACTTGCAGAATGTCTGCCCACTATGGCAAGCTGTTGGTGGGCTAGATGGAATGCCTTCGTCACTACCATGATGCTATTTCCTTTCTTACCTAGTCCTGGCATAAGTCCTGCTTCCGGTGTGCCAAATGTGGCAAGGGCCTTGAGTCGACCACCCTAGCGGACAAGGATGGTGAGATCTACTGCAAAGGTGGGTAGTCCTACTTCTCTCTGGGGAGAAGAAGGCAGGAGGAGGCAGAGACCAAGTGGCCGCCATGTCACTAACCAAATGAACCGGGTCCTGGCCATCTGTTCCAAGAGCCAGAGCACCCCCTTCATGACAGGGATGGGGAACCAGGCCAGAGGGAGAATTGGCCAGAGCCAGAAGGAACATAGAGCAGGGTCAAGGGCCTAGGCCTGGGATCCTGATACCTACCTGCCCAGTGGTTTTCAGCAAATGACTCATTCCCTCGTTGCAATGAAGGATGTAGACGATGGTGGACTGACCTTCTCCCGAGTCCAGGCACAAGGGGACAGGAAGACATCCTTACCCTTCTCTTCTCTCTGCAGGATGCTATGCTAAAAACTTTGGGCCCAAAGGTTTTGGCTTTGGACAAGGAGCTGGTGCTTTGGTGCACTCCGAGTGAGGCCGCCGCCGCCGCCCCCCGCGTCCCCTGCCTTCCTCCTGTGCTTTTTCCCTTTCTCTTTCTGTCATCAATCCCTCCCCAGAAGCCTTGGACACCTCCAAGATGCTCTCCCTCACTCGGCCCTGGCACACGTCACTAATGTCGGACTTGGGTATCTGGCTGCTTTCGGCTTAGGGGTCTGCCTGAGCTCCCACCCCACTAAGGGCTTCCTCCTGCCTGGCATTTGACACCACCACCTTTAAGAGACCTCTGTCACCCCTTTAGAGAGGACAGGTCCCTCCCCCCACCCTCCACCCTCCACTGGTCAGGACATCTGAGCCCAATCTTTGGGGCCTAGACGAACAGACCTAGAGGGACCAGCACAGGACCAGGATTGGGCCAGGGAAGGGCTGTGTTTTGTTGGATCGCAGAGAGCACCCTCTGGGAAGGAGGCTGAGGCATCTCAGTCTTGGGGGGGAGGGGGTCCCCATGGAAGTAGGGAGGGGCAGGGTCCCGGAAGGAACTCTTTCTCTGGGCTCTTGCCTTTGAATGTGGAACTGGTATCATCCCCCATTGGGAACGGAGAACCACCCAGGTCAGAGGACCCCACAGTGTGGAGGCTGCCTGACCCCCTTAGGCATCAAGCTCCCTGTTTGATGGGGAAGGGGAGGTCCTAACGAAATACTCTGAATATGCATTCACATTTATGGATGGTCCAGATCTTGGCGTGGACAGCTCTGGTCCTAACTAACCCTGGGGCTGGTGGCTGGGATGGACAGTTTCTCTCGGTGCCTGCATAGCCCAGGGTAGTACTGTGTCTAGCCACTCCCTCTAATGTGGATGGAGGCAGAGGTAGCCTGTCTTCAGTAACAACCTTCCCTCTGCCTCCAGTCCTGGCTCCCCAGACCCCGCCCTTCTCTTAGGGATGTTCACTAGCTTCCAGGCCCCGAGGCGGGAGCAGAGGGAGGTAGGGGAAGGGCTGGGCCACGCTGCTCCCAGGACAGCACTGTGTGCAACTCTTGGCTGCAAGGGCCCTAGGCATGGGCTATGGGGAAGCTGGTCCCTCATCTGGTCAATAAAGCAGTTTAGAACAGAACGCTGGTGTCCATCTTCTGTCTGGGGGGCCCTGCCACGCCTTGGAGCCAGGACCAGAACAATTCGCAGCAGGGCCTGGTCGAAATGAATCAAAGAGGACCCACTCAACTGAGCAGTGGCAGCCCACGCCTTCAGTCCCAAGCGGCCTTCAGTCCCGGCGCTTGGGATGCAGAGGCAGGCGGGTCTCAGTGAGTTCGGAGAAACCCTGTCTCGAAAAACAAACAAGAAGAGGACTCAACTCCAAGAGTTTTCTAAGGTCTGCTTACGTTGTAGTTTCCTATCTAAGGGACCCAAGCAACCCAATGCCCAGCCTGTTTGCCCTCCACCCCGCCCCAGGACATGAGAATTTCGTGGTCCTGGCTTTTGAGAGTCTCCATTAGATCAGCTTGGAAAGCCCCTTGCAAAGAGAAAACTCTGCCAGAGGAACTTTGTGTGTCAACCCCAGAAACCTCACTTCTTCTGGGAAGGGTGGGGGTGGGGGAGGAGTCTGCTTCCCCTTTAGGGCCCCACAACCAGGTTCGAAGGAGATCAGATTTAGGCCTGTCTGAAGGACTGTGGAGTTACTCGTTTTCGGCCCAGCTCTGGTTCCCCAGAGCTGTGCCTCTCTGTGTCAGCCCGGGAAGAGGTACCCACACGGACTTTTTCAGAACATCGGGTAAAAAGGAAACAGCAGATTTCGTTGCGTGTGTTAGCCAGGTAGGCAGGCCAGCAATGCCCCTCGTGGGACCTATCCCAGTGGTGCAGACGATAGAGAACTGCAAATGAACACAGGCCCAACCGCTGGAGTTCAGACCGGCAGCTCCCAAATGGGGGTCAAGACCTAACGACGACGGGAGGTTCTGGGGACGTTTGTGCCCAGAGGACAGATGGGTCCTCCTTCCCTGGGTGGGGCCCACAGGAGTACCCACAGGGGCGCAGTGGGATCCGAAGGTGGGAACCGGCTGCCCTCTGCTGGCTGCACGGGCGCGTGTCCCCAGCCCAGCACAGTACCATCAGGCAGGACCTGGTACTTCGTCTGGTTCCCACAGCCACGTAGTGGTAAGGGGCAGCACGAAGTCTGGGATAAAGCCAGGGTCACCAGCGGAAGGCTGTGGCGAATGGGCAGTCGGGGCAGGACGCACCGCGCGCGCGGTGGTGCGGTTCCCTGGGGATGCGTGGTCAGCTTGCGGGGAACTCGGGATCCGCAGGCGCCGAGCTTGCTCTGTGCCGGCAGACACCAGGTGGCGCTGTGGGGTCAAGGCCAAAGGCGGCACTCCCTTTCTCTTATTTATTATATTTGTGTTCGCTACTCCCTGTCTGCTGTGGGTGTTGACGACCCTTTGCTTCTGCGAGGGCATCTAATCTCCAAGGGTAGCATCTCCCTGGCAGGAGTTGTGTGATAATAGTGAGTGAGTGGCCCGTGGCCTGCCGAGCCGTGAGAATGACCCAAAGGAGGAAAGTGGGCAGAGCTTTTTGTATCCATTCAAGGCGGACCTAGGCGAGGTCCAGGATGCCCTTGGGGAAAGAAGGACGCGCAGTTGCAGGCATGCCCTGGGCCTGTAGGGTGTATTGGGAGGCAGCTGCCTGTTCTGGAGGCCCAAGGCGCTCAGGCTTCGGTCGTTCAAGGCCAGAGTCAGGTCATCTGAGAGGGTGGTTTCCGAGGGAGCCAGACTGCAGAGATGAGGGAGATTGTGTTTGTGGTTGAGGCAGGAAGAAAGTAGGTTCGAGACCAATCTTGCTACAAAAAGTAAGAGGTGTGTGTGTGTGTGTGTGTGTGTGTGTGTGTGTGTGTGTGTGTGTGATCTGCTATTAGGTGTTTAATCCCCGATGGAGAGTACATCTTTGTGAAGAACAGAAACCCAGTGAAGTTACAGTCTCCAGAATCCCTAAGATCAATGACCCTCTCGAAGCCGTCAGTGGATGTTTCTGACTCCCTTCTTCAGTCCCTGGTCCTGCCTCCAAACGTACACTCCTATTACGAGAACCATCGTGGGGGTGGTGGGGTGCTTTTAAAATGGATTCCCAGATCCACCCTAGAGATTCTGATCGGGTTGGGGTGGGGCCTGGGAATCTGTATTGAGAGGCGCTGATGACACCTGCACTCACAGTCAGCTGGGCTGAACCGCGTGCGAACTGCTCAGCCTTGCAGCAACGCTGACCCAGAGGCTCCCTTGCTGCCGGAGCTACTGAACCCTCTCCCAACTGTGGTAATGACTGGAGAGGAGCCACCTGAATTCTGTTTCCGTTCCCAAGAGCCAGGGAGGCCAGGTCTAAGCTTCTCCCTCTGACGGCCTACAGAGACTTGAACACAGCTGCCCTGCATCTAGTCTGCCTTCATCCTCTTTAAGCAGATCCTTTCTGTGGCTCCTGAGAGAAGGCACTGGAAGCCTTGAGAGCCAGTTTCACCAGTTGAAGAAGAAAGATGTTTTCAGGGCCTGAGAGTATAGCTCAGTGGCAGAGCACTTCCCTAGAATGTGCGAGGCCCTGAGTTCAAACCTCAGAACCAGAAGGGGGAAGGGGGAAACCTAGGCATTTGCGATACTTGGATGAGTCATTCTGGGAATGACCTATGACTCCCTCGGGCCTCCTTCTTTGGGGTAGTTTGGAAACACACATTTGTCATTTCTGGTTTATTCTGTACCACAGAGACCTTCAATGGCCTTATGAGACGGGGTCCAGGCACTGATGAATTTAAACTAAAGCCAGGAACCAGAGAACAATTCGGGAACTAGTTCAAGGTCAAATGGTGGAGGAGGGGTCTGCATAGACCCCAGCGGCCCAGGACTCACCACTATGCTGCAGTACTGGGTCAGCACTGTTGTAGAGAAGCTGCCGTGTGTTGGGAGGTGGGAGGGTGGCCTTAGAGCAGTCAGCCATCGTTCATGAACCCTAATCCTTGTGCTTTCCTGCCTGATGCATTCACACGCACTTGGAGTTGAGTGTATGCGGTGCCCTTCATTATAGAAAGGGAAAGCGAGAGTCTGTGCATTTGTAAATGACTTATTCAAAGTCTCTGGCAACTGGTGGAGCCAGGATTAGAACCAGCTGTGTGACTTTGGGCCAGCCTCCTCCCCTCTGGGTGTGAAATGAAATGCTGGCGGCCTGAATTAGCGCCGGGAAGTACTTCCCAGGCTCTGATGTGCACACGCATCTCCTGGGGAATCTTGTAAAACACAGATTCCAGTTCGGTAGTTTTGGGTGGGGGCTTGAGACCGGATGTCTCTCAGAAGCTCCCAGGGAAGGCGGTGCTGATGTTGCGGATCCAGAGACCACACCGGAGCAGCCAGGCTCCAGGGCCCCACCCTACTCTGATGTTCTTAGTTTATGGGCTTAGGAAGACTCGCCCCAAAGGCCTTGAAAACTCAGGAAGTAGATTATCCTGACCGAGGAGCTCAGTGGGCACTTTCCATGTCTGCCCCTAGGCCTACCTTACTGCTGCTGTTGACCTTGGACAGACATGTCCAGAGTTAAAGGGCTTGGGTTAGTTTGCAGGTTGAGCCCTCCTGTTCCCTGTCTCCTGTCTCCTCCTGGGATTCCCCATCAGTTTCATAGCCACCTGTCCAGTCCTTGATTGTTCACGGACTGTCACCCTCCCAATTGTTCCCCTCTTCCCTTTAGGTTAGATGTGGCCATGTGCCTTGCTCTGGTGTTTAACCTGAGGTCAAAATGACTTGTGTCATTCCTGCACAGAACTCTTTCTTTGACTGGCATTTGAGACAGAGCTTTGCTATGCTGCTCAATCTGGTCAATCCTCCTGCCTCAGCCTCCAGGGTGGCTGAGATTACAGGTGGGCATCACTCTGCCCAGCTTGTAGAGAGTGCTTGTTTCTGTGGCACAGCTTTGCTGTGGAGTCAAGGCTATCCTTAACCTCACAATCCTCCTGCCTCAGCTTCCCAAGTGCTGGAATTGTAGGATTACTTAGAACTCTTTAGAGAGTGGGGCTGGGAGACCTCAGTAACATACTGTGTTCGATCCCTGGTA